TTGCTGTTGCTGTTGCTGTTGCTTTTCCTGTTGCTGTAGCTGTAGCTGTTGCTGTTGCTGTTGCTGTTGCTGTTGCTGCTGCTGTAGCTGTAGCTGTAGCTGTAGCTGTTGCTGTTGCTGTTGCTGTTGCTGTTGCTGTTGCTTTTCCTGTTGCTGTAGCTGTAGCTGTAGCTGTAGCTGTTGCTGTTGCTGTTGCTGCTGCTGCTGCTGCTGCTGCTGCTGCTGCTGTTGCTGTTGCTGCTGCTTGTTCTCGCAGGCATTCTTCGGAGCGGAGGGCCTGGAGAAGTTCTAAATGAAAAGGGAGTATGATTGGTATAGTACACAGGGGGAGAAAGGTTGGACCGGTCTGGTGTTGTGCCCACGGTGCATTTATGCAACACAATGCTCGATCCCAGGTTAGACCGTGTTTTAGCAGTTCTACTGCATTCAGTAGTACTTTTAGGGTGGGTCACTACGTCAGTTTATCTTACATGTTGTTGTTGTGCTGTACGACTGTACGATATCGCACCACGACTTTTAGATTTAAGATCTCGTTGAGTCGACTCCACTGTGGACACGCTGCGGACTAGAGATCTCCGGCCAAGTCTTGAATGGATGCCGGTGAGCTTGATAATGATGTGGACCATTACTACGAAGTAACCATGTGGACAGCGTCCAAACTGGTGAGATCTCTTCTGCATAGGGACGACAGCACTGTGTGATTCCTTATTGCAGCAGTCAATACAGCGAGACTCGAGACGGGATGGCCCAGGTGGCCGACAGCTTCTGCATCTCCTGCTGCTTTACGTGGTCGAGCCTGGCACCCCAAGAGTGATCGTTTCAGGGACCAGGGCCTTGGGCACAGTAGGACTGGGCTTAGGGTTGTTGGGTTTCGGGCCCGTGGCTTTGGTTCGCAGGTATGATCTGCAGCTGCAAGATGCTGGCACCGGTGCCGATGACAGAGGGCACGAGCCATTCTGCAACACTTCAGGCTTGATGCATTTGGGGCCGCAACCAGGCAAGTGCGGTCGTAATCTCAAGATTAAACCCTATATCCAAATGCTTAAACCCTAAGCCCAAAGCCCGAAACCCTAAACCCTAAACTCAGATCCCAAGACGATCCTAAACTTCCTAAACCCTGAACTCTTTCTCTCCAAGGGCCGGGCTTCTTGTTCAGCTCAGAGAGGTGGCCGAGATAAGCCTGGCGCTGGGCTGCAATTCGCTCGGGTTTCGGGGTTCGTGGTTTTTTTTTAATGTGTGATGGACGTGTCTTTGCGACTGCCTGCTGAAGTAGCACACACGGTGAGACACTACCTAACATTGCATGTGAACTTGTAGGGCCCATATACGGCAAGCATGTAGAGGACGAGCACACATGTAGAAGATGAGCAGACCAGGACTCCACCCCAGGAGAAGCCCCAAAGCAGCAGGACAGGACATTGCGAGGCCCCGGTTTAGAGTTTAGGGTTTGGGG